CTCTCTCTGCCTCCCTCTCTGCCTACTTGTGATCTCTCTCTCTGTGTATCAAATAAATAAATAAAATCTCTAAAAAAAAAAAGGTTATTCAATGACCACCTCTCCCTGCTTTCAAAACTTTTTATCACCCCAGAAAAATACTCCATATCCAGTAAGTATCACTTCCCATTCCCTTCACCTTAGCCCCTGGTAACCACTCATCTGCTTTCTATCTCTATGGATTTGCCTATTTTGATGTATTATACAAATCATACAATATGTGACCTTTTGTGTCTGACTTTGTTCAGTTAGCATAAAGTCTTTGAAGTTCGTCCATGCTGTAGCATGTATCAATACTTTGTTCCTTTTTATGATTAAGTAATAATTCCATTCTATGGATAGACCACAATTTATCCATCAACAGACATTTGGGTTTTTTCCACCTTCTGACTTCTCATGATATTTTAACAGCCCCCATTGTCATCATCCTAGTCCAGACTTCCCTAAATTCTCTTACTGGATTACAGCAACATTTTAACTGATCTCCTCTCCCCCTACTCCATTTGTTTCCTGAAAGTCATTCCAGCAACCTGAAAGTCATTCCATGTTTAAGGTCAGCATTCCATGCTGAAGGTCACTCCATGCCCTTCATGGGTTTTCCAATGGCTGTACGAACGATCTAAGGAGCCCAGATTTTTAAACATGAACTACAAAGTAGGAGTCACCCCCTTCCTGTTTACCTTTCCTACTTCATTTCATACCCCTCCCCCTAGAACTGGAAGGCTCCATTCAAAATAAACTTCTCAGTTCCTCAAAACCATCATCTTTTCTCTTTCTTCAGGGCAGGTGCACATTTTGTGCCCACTGCCATATACCGTCTCTTTGCTGGTCTAACTCCTACTTATTCTCTAGGTCTCATCTCAAATAGTAGATGTGCAATCTTACATATACCCTGTACTTCTTCGCAGCACTTTGCAGAACTGTAAATTATTTTTCCTATTAGACTGTGAGTTCCATAAGGGCAGGAACCATGTATTATGCCCATCACAAAAACCCTTCTGCCTAGCCCAACATAGGCATATGATAGATGATGATTAATAGTAGTTATAGACTGGGCATGGGCAGAATTACCAAATTGCCCCTGAAATTTTAGATACTCTATTACTGAAGGTCTTAAAATACATGGACACACATACACACAAATCTTAGTTATAATTACATTGTTAGAACTCTCCCTACTTATCCATTCACTCAAATACAGTTTTCAGAAAAGACAAGACAGTGGTGCCTGGGGCGGTGAGCTCATAAGCTGAGCATCTGACTCTTGACTTTGGCTTAGGTCATGATCTCGGGATACAACCCCTCAGTCGGGCTCCACACTCAGTGCAGAGTCTGCTTGTCCCTCTCCCACTGCTCCTCCCCCTCCTCATGCTCTCTCTCTCTCTCTTTAAAGAATACATTTTTAAAAATTCTTAAAAAAAAAAAAAAGAAAAAGCAAGATGAAGCCTTTTAAATAATATTAAAATTTAAATTCCCTTTCAGGGATGCCCAGGTGGCTCAGTCAGTTAACCGTCCCACTCTTCATCTTAGGTCAGGTCTTAATCTCTTGAGTTGTGAGCTTAAGCCCTGCGTTGGGCTCCACACTGGGTATGGAACCTACTTTAAATAAATAAATGAAGAGACAGATAGATAAAAAATAAATTTCCTTTCAAACTGTTCTTTGTTCATGATTTTTTAAAAAATGATCTTGTTAAAAAATATTTATTTGACAGAGAGAGAGATCACAAGTAGGCAGAGAGGCAGGCAGAGGGAGAGGGGGAAGCAGGCTCCCTTTCTGAGCAGAGAGCCTGATGCAGGGCTCAATCTCAGGACCCTGAGATCATGACCTGAGCAGAAGGCAGAGGCTTAACCCACTGAGCCACCCAGGCGCCCCTAAAACAATGATCTTTCAGAGCACGTAGAACAAGCCTACTATAACTGAATGGCTGCCTATCAAAATGTGATCTTCTGACTTCAGAGATTATTCTTGCCTTTGAAAGGCTCAAAAGAAATACTTTCTAAAGACACACTTATACAGCAAGGAAAAATACTCGTAACATTAATACCTTGATTCTTTCTAATCTTTATGAGTGTGGTTTAACATGTAAATATGGCTTTTGTTTTTCAAGATTTTACCTACTTTCTTTATTCACTTCTCAGAGAACAGATCAATGGATGAGATTACAGCTCCCAATCATGAAATTAATTTCATATACTTGAAAAAGCTACTTTGATCACCACCTGGGGGAAAAGATAAATAGCCTAAGCCAGCTTTTTTAGCTGCAGGAACTGAAGATTAGAGGAAAGAATTAGAAAATGTGATAAAATAAAGTCTTGAAACTGAAGTACCACAAGTTACAAGAAAAAAAAAAAATTAACACACACTGTTTTTATGACCATCAGTCTTTTCAAGTTAGGACTGAGGCACTGACCTGATGTGGAAAATGACTTAAATATTAAATTAAATGTATTTAAGTATTTAGCAGTTTGATTACTTCTAAGCAATTATACCATAGGTTTTTCCACAACTGAACCATGTTACAAACTTTCCATTAGTGCAAAATTAGGAAATCTTTATAGTACAAATAGAAGTCCTTTTTTACAAATAGAAATGTAAAAAAATATTTTTGAGGGTTTATAAAAAGCAATTTATGAAAAAGATAATAGTTGGTTATGTCAAGGTGCTGAGCTTGAGTAGTGAAGAAAATGTGAACTCTGATTCAGACTGTATCACTTATTATATGATGTTGAGAAAGTTACCTAGCTCCTGAGTCCCAGTTTCTTTATATACAAAATGTACAACTTCAAGGATTGAGATTATGAGAAAATGCATATAAATTGTCTCACAATACCAAGGCACCTGGGTGGCTCAGCCATTGAGCATCTGATTCTTGGTTTTGGCTCAGGTTGTGGTCTCAGGATCAGGGGGCTGAGCCCCTCATTAGGCTCAGCTCTCAGTGGGAAGTCTGCTTGAGATTCTCTCCCTTTCCCTCTGCCGCTTCCCACCCCCTACCTTCCCACCTCCTTTTGTGTGCATGCACATGCTCACTTGCCCTTTCTTAGGTAAATAAATGAATCTTAAAAAAAAAAAAAGTCTCACAATACTATACATATACTATGGCTTTTCTAATTCTAACAGATTTGCATAATTTCACAGAGCAGTAATTACAAAGTAAAACATTGAACAGGTCATTCAAATTTTCCCTCTTCTGCGTTTACTGTAGTTTCTTTCATAGAAAGTAGCTAATCCAATGTAATCTTTTACCTTTTTAAAAACCAGGATAGAGTACTATTAGAGTTTTACATTGTTGATGAGAGATTAACAATAAAGTGATATTCTGGTGGAAAACAAAAAAACAAAAAAACATTGAACAGAAGTTTAAGTTGTACCAAAGGAATAGTAATTAGGAAGAAAATCCCCCAATGACTTTGAACGTAAAAGAGTTGTTCAATTATTTAATTAAATTAATTTTTACTTAGTAACCTTACTTAACTGTATTTGTTTATTAACCTTTATTAACCTTATGTGAATTAATTTTTATTCTTTATTGTTAGCTCCTGTGGCCCCTATTTAGTCAGACATTTATTTAAACCAGCCACCCAAAAAAAGTGAATAGAAATCTAGGAACTGAAGAGGAAAACTGCTGACCCAAACTAAATAAATTTCCTTGACCATGTCCATGATAGTCAAAATCATGGCCGAAGAGTTGTCCTTAGATTATAATCCTGTAAGCATGCGCAGTGTATACTACAGACATCATCTGGTGTTCTCGGCAGAACAATCAAGAAATGTCACAGAACAGGTGGTATACTGAAACTCCACAAAGATCTTGCAGCAACCCCCTAGATTACAGTACAGATAGCAAGAACTTTACTTAATAAATTGTTGACCAGAGAAACTTCCTACAAACATTCTACAAGGCAACACTAGACAGAAAGATATTTGTCTTAAAAATTTCCAAGAAAAATCCCACACAATTTAGTCCCTTGAAATTTATCATTCTCCTTCATTGAGAACTTCTCTTTTCAAAAAAAACCTGGACACTAAGTGCCTACGGAAAGTCAGTGTCTTAATAATATATAGTATCCTTCCTTTGCATCCTCCCCCAAAACAAACAAAATAGGACTAAATATAAATTTGATTCTAGCTCATTCACAAGTTCTGATTTTTCTAAGTTCTTTATTTTCAAATCAAGACAATTCAAATATACTTACTTAAATGTAGACGTTTTTAAACTTCTGTTAACCCCTAAACAGTTTACTATTACATAGTTAAAACATCCATATATTTTAAATTTGCAGTCCTTAACACAAGTTAAGGCAATCATCTAACAGTGTGGCAAATTGCAGCAAATATCACATTAAAGTTTATTTCTTACTTACATTCTACAAACATCTCTAATTCACAGTTTCACTAATTTTATAATTTCCCCAATGAGAGATGTGAAGGCTACAGAAAACTGTATGTGCTTTATAACTTCAGTAAATTTTATGAACCTCAACCATCATAAGGATCATGGAAACATGTACCAAATTAAATGAAGGCATTTGTGACATTAAAAGTGAGATTTTCCTTCCAAAGTCACCAAAACCACTCTTTAATATTCAACAAAAAATTGGAATTGCAGGGTTTCATGTGTGTGTTTTTAAATGTCAGGGTGGTATGATCTTCTTTGGATGTATGGCTGTTGAAAGCTGACTTGTACAAAAGAAATTTTTAGAGAACAGAGGCTTTTCTTTACATATTTATTCCCAGAGCCTGCCCTTCATCTCATTTTGGTTTTCCACATTGATCCAATTGTAGCGCTTCCTGGAGAGAGCTATGTTCTAATCAGCAACATCAGGAAGGGAATTGGACAAAGCAAAATGAGAAAATGCAGATCTTCTCATGTCACGTCTCTTTGAAAACAGTGAATACATTCTAAGTTACGAGGCAATAGAAGCCACCATTTATTTAACTTTTAATAGTTTTTTTTTTTTTTCATGTGATGGACATGAACAGGAAACATGGAATGAGTCCTTCATCTATTCAATAGGTGCACGATTTCTATTGAGGTGAGTAGCAGAATTTGACTTTGTTCCCTACCCCACGCGGTAGTGCTGACCTTCAAACCTCATTAGTAGGCTATTCAGTAAATCTCCACTGAATGGTGACTCAAAGGAGAAACAATCTAGAGACCCTAAATTACCTAACATTACTTCCCGTTAAGAATTTTCTCCTTAAAGTTGCCGGAAAGCTACCGAGTTAAAGCAGCCGTGCCGATTCCCCAAAGGTAACGGTTCGGACTCCTACTAATTGAAAAAGCTGCAGTTGGCAAAAAAGTAAGGAATCAGTCCTTTAAAGAGAACTCTGGACTACATATCGTCACCTCTCCAAAGCCAGAAAACGAAACATGTGACACGCTAGCACTGCCTGGACACTTGGGCCCAGGGTGGCCGCAGGAGCTGCCAAATCCACGCCTACTCCTGCTGCTTCTGGGTTGGGGGCGCTTCGGCGGCCGGAGGGCGAGGCAGCTTGAAATAGACCTTGACCGAGTCACAGATGAACCACTGCAGCGCCGTCAGGGTGCCGATCATGATGATGCGGGCGAACAGGCCCTTCCAGACGCCCGTAAAGCCCAGTCTGCGCAGCACCTTGAAGGCCGTGCTGCCCTTCTCCTTGTTCAAAACGGACACGACGGAGTCGGCCGGATGGGACACAACGGCGCAGAAGATGCCGGCGATGTAGCCGGCCACAAAGGTGACGGCCAGCTGCTCGGCCTTGGTGCACTGGCGCTGGGGCTTGGGGACCACGTACTTGTAGAGGGCCTCCACCGTGCGCTCGAAGCAGGCGAGCTTCATCCTGGTGTAGGGGATCTGCCGCAGCCACAGCGGAGCCACGCCCTTGTAGAAGGCCCACGGGCCCTCCTCGGCGTACATCCGCGGGGCGGCGGCGCGCAGCGTGCGGGCGAAGCCGGGCTGCGTCTGCATGCGCACCTTCACCGCCTCCATGGGGGCCAGCGCCACGTCGGCGAAGAACTCGGCGCTGGCCCACGCGGCCAGGTACAGGCTGGTTCTCCACTCGTACGCCCCCTCCGGGCCCAGCAGCTCGCTGTAGCGGATCTTGAAGACCTCGTAGAGCCCGAACTTGAAGAGGCCCTGCAGGGAGCACCCCAGGAGGGTCGGGGCCCAGCCTCGGGCCAGGCCCAGCAGCCGGTCCTCACGCACCGTCGCACTGAAGCCCTGAGGATGCCCTTGTACTTGCCGGGGTCCGCCTGCATGCGGCACTTGACCAGGTCCAGGGGCACGATGGCCGTGTGCGTCAGCTCAGCATGCCGCCCAGGCCGCACAGCAGCAGGTACCTCGTGGAGCCGTACTCGCAGCTCTGCTCCTCCTCCTCCTCCCCCGCCGCCGCCGCCGCCCCCCAGAGCCTGCCCCGGAGCGGGCCCGAGCTTCCCGCCTGCCGGCCTCGGTAACCGCTAGCATCACGCATGACCGCGCCCGCTCCGGTCACACACTTCGCTCCCCCGAGCTCTTCCCTCGCGGGGGCCGCGAAACAACTGCGTGTGCGTCGTGCGCTTCCCCCGCGCGCCTGCGAGCCCAACGGTCGAGTCGGTCGGTGGGTCGGTCGGGGTGGGCCACAGGTGCAGCCAGGGGCTGCCAGGCTTCTTCTGCCCCAGCTCCAGGTGCTCCTGCGCAGGCCCCACCGGCGGGTGAGGTGGCTGCCCCGAGTCCCGCTCCCGGGGCAGGGGGGATCAAGGAGGAGTGTCCCCTTGCCCTTCACCACCAGGACCGTCCTCCATCCCTCCCTCACGCCTCCAGGGCCTCCCGTCAGTCCTCCTTCAGCTGAGGGGCAGTGGTCCCCTCACCTTGAGCGGTAGGTAAGGCTTTGCTCTGTCCAGCCCAGCTGCCTAGTCTTCTACTAAGATGCTAAAGAAATAAATCAACAGGTACAAACAGGAGTACACACAGGAATAGGCAAGCAGATAGATCAGGAGTTGCACAAAGGGACGAAGAGTCGCCATGCACTGCTGCCTTCCTGAGGGGCCTTTCTGGAGTCCGCGCCTCACTGAGCCCACTTAGGACAATGGTCGTCTCCATGGCAATGGAGTGTTCTAGGGAGGGAACGGCTAGAGAGAATTGGGAACATGGTGTTGGAGGCCAGTCCTGAGGCTTCTGGCCTAACATTCTCATCTGTTAGATAGGGACGACATCTGCCCCCAGCACTCCCCACTCCACGGCTGTTTCCTGCCAAGAGTTGCAGTGAGGGCCTAGGAAGCATGGAAGTACTCACTAAATTGGGGGGACAGAGTCTGTTGATTATTTTCATTCATTAGGTATTTTTTCATTGACTACTGAGCCCCTGGCATAATTTTGGAGTTCACAAAGTGAGTCAAAAACCCTCACTTCCCTGAGGAGACTGCGGTCTCACTGGTCTGGGAAGTGAGAGCTAAGTGACTCCATTGGTAAATGACTTCCCTGAGGAGATGACAATGTAGCTAGGTTTTGAAGGATGAGTAGGAGCCCATCACTCACATAGAGTAGATGGAAAGGTAAGTCCAGGTTATGGGAAACATGAATACATGAACTACTGAGGAGAGATGAGTAATTCGACATGGTGGAAACTAGCCAGGGTTGAGTCCGGAAAAATAGAATTGGGTCAAATTAGGGAAAGCCTTAACATCTTGTTCACCATCTTGCCTTTTATGTTCTTGGGAGGCCAGCGTTTCTCAAAATTGTGATCCATAGACCGCCTGCGTCAGGATCACCTGGAATGCTTTATTTAAAATCCGGGATCATACCCCAGGCCCTCTGAATGAGAATCTCTGAGGGTAGGAATGTGCCATTTTAATAAGCTCCCCTAGATGGATTTGTCATTAACTTCACTGAAGTTTGAAAACCACAGTATGTGGATGAGGGGAGGTCAAAGATTTTTTTTTTTTTTTTAAGTTTCTCTGATCAAGAATTCAGTACTTTTATCTGGAAGTAAGTGTGTATACAACTCTGCAAATTCATCATGAAGCTGTACACTTAAGATGTCTGAACTCTAGACACTTTATGTATGTTATACCACTTTTTAAATTGGTGGTATGAAATTCTAATCACAAACTGAGGATGTTGGCCTTTGGGAGAGCAGAGGCAGATAGAGGTTTTCTCGATCACCCAGTCTTATTGAACTCCTGTCCTTACTGTAATCTTACACCAGTGTTAAATTAATTAAACAAAGCAAGTAGACTAAGGTGGCTTTAAGGCTTTAGCAGTCTATGTAAGGAAACCGAAAGCTAAGCCTGCAAATCTATCAATGTTAAGAAATTGAAAGCCAAGGACAGCCAATCACAAATGACCAGCTGGGCTTTTCCAAATAAGGCAACGACTTAAGCAACAGCCTATCAAAACAAATAATTTCTTTGGTCTGTTTTGGCATCTTCTCTATAAAAGTCTTTCCCTAGTTCCTGTCCTTGGAATCTTCTAGCTACTTCCGATTTGGTTGTTGCTGCCCAACTGAAATTGATCTTTGCACTAATAAACTCTTAAAACTTTTAATATGTCTCAGTGTATCTTTTAACATCAGGAATTTCGGTGTGAAAGAGAAGATTCTCTCCTTGAGTCATAAGAAAACACCAAAGTGTTAAACTTTCTCATTCTGAATAAATTGGGATTCCCAGAGTCTGTTCCTGGGAATATTGTTCCACTTGAAAAATGTCAGTGGTTGGTCAAACATGTTTGAGGAGCATTTCATACCAGAACCTACATTCTCAAATGAAGCAGTATCATCCCCAAGGGTCAAAAATTAGTTCATAGGGAGCAAAAAACTCCATACAATGGTTTGTGGCCCCCCAAAACTCAACTTACTTACCAAAGTCTTATTCCTTAGTATTTAGTCTGGTGGAGGGTGGGGACAGGTGGATGGAAAGGGGCGATTAGGGGATTGTCTAAAAAGACTTCTGGAGATGGAGGGCTAATAATGAATAACAGGTTGAGAACACAGCAATAGAGTTTCCTTGTGGAGATTCACTGGGCTTGTGAACATACTATAGAGTAAGAAGTTACATAGTAAAGAACTTGAACTTTGCTAATGTAGGGTGTCCTAGTCACATGTCACAGACGTATTCTTCCATGGAGCATGTTTCAGGAAATGCTGAACTCTATCAAAATCAAAAGCTTAAAGAAAATAAAGAATAAGGAAAGGCCAGAGTAATAATAGCAGGTACAATTTACTTACACCTCTATTTCCTAAACGTATCATGTAGATTTTTTATTTGTTTTAAAGATTTGATTTATTTGAGATAGAGCAAGAGAGAGAGAGCGTAAGCAAGGTGCCCCATAACTTGGATGTTTTCCTAACACGTAGCATGTGTCACTGGCTACTTTATGAAAACAGAGGTTAAATCCGTTTATTTCATTCATAGGAGATACATGTTCTGTACCACTAAAATACTGCTAAAGAAAATCTACAAGTTGAAGGAAGCAATTTAGGGATCTTCACTACCAAATTTTTTCACATTTTTTTTCCTAGCTGCATGACCGGAGCCAAGTTATTTAGCCTCTTCCTGAGCTTCATTTGTTTATTTTTTAAAATCTGTAATTAGGGTTAATTATAACTACCTTTAGAGTTGTTAAAAGATGAGTTGATAAAAGATGAGATAAAAGCTAGACGCTGGCCTAGCACCTTGTATGTTAATAAGCATTCCATGAATGTCAGTTTTTGTTACTCTCCCACCTTTTCTGGCCCTCATTGATCCTCACAGCATTCACGTTTCTGTGATGGCCCAGTCTCGGCTCTTTCCCCTCCACTTGAGTGAATGATTTATTCAGTTAACTGAATTCCCACTAACTGATGGTTTAGGGCAGGGACTGAAGAAAGCAGAAGTGGCAGGGATGTGAACACCTTTGACAGTGCCCCAGGATGTGTCACAGCATCAAATAAATAGGACAGAGATGGCTCACTTGTGACCTAACAGCCTGTCAGAGCCACAGACAGGAACGGGACAGACACAACAGGGCAGCCTTCCTCCTCTTCCAAACTACCCCTCCTAGGCTGGTGCTTTACTCAGTTGCATTATAGCTAGGGCAGCCAGCTTGTCCTGGTTTGCCCCCCACTTTTCCGTGTGTAGCACTGAAAGTCCAGCAACCCGAAAACGCGCTCAGTCCCAGGCAAATCAGGATGGCTGGTCATGACACTTTCATGAGTCCCAGCTGTGCCCAAGGCCTCCAGCCACTGCTAGCATGCTGTGTCAGAAGAATCACTGGCTTGGAAGCCAGACATACCTGGGTGCAAATCCTGGCTCGTTCCATTTCTAGCTACATAACCTGTAAATGTCATCTTTCTTGAACCTCAGTTTCTTTATCTGTACACTTCATCCCAGTCTTTCCTGAATTTGTGATAAACTTCGTATTATCATTAAATTAAATGACAACACAGTGCTTGCAACGATGTAGGCCCTCAATGAATGCTAGGTTTTTTCCCCTTCCTGACCTCCTTATACTTGGGAGAGTTTCATTATTTCCTGGGGTTCCAGATGTCTAAAATATCCCCGCAACAAGTTTCGGGGAAGGGAGGTGGCCGTCAGGCAGTAGAGGGCGCTGTTGCCGCTATTCCTCTCTTCGCTCCCCACACTAAAGCAATAAAGCTTTAGTAAACCACTGATCAAAGGTGGCTAAACTCTAAACCCACACTTGGTTTGAACTTATCTAAATGTATCCCACATGCCTGCAATAACGTTCCGGGTGTATCTGGATGATTTTGAATCTTGTACATTCAGTTTGTAATCCTTCTCACTCCAGGAGGTTTATGCTGTGCCAGGGGGTCAGATGTTTGTTCGTAGAATTATTTAACCCCAATCAACTAATTATTCTGATGAGTTGTATGCCTTTTTTCTGTTTGCTTGACCAGACTGGAAACAATGACAGGCATTCAACTGAGATTTACTGTAAAACTTGAACGGACTGGGAATTACGGAGTTCCCTAAACTGCCTCTGAAAATAAATATTTCTGATTCATCTGGCAAGTTGCAGGGGGAAAAAGCAACAACCTCCAAACTCATTAAACTAAGTAAGTCTAACCATGTTTAAAGAAAATGTTGTGGGAGGTAATATTCCCTAGATGTTTAGATGAAAACCGTTCATAGCAAATCTTCATGCCTTTTTGTTTGTTTGTTTAAGGAATTATTTGTGCAAAGCAACATTAGTGCTCCCAGGGTTGCAATCGTTTATCTAGGGTGGGTTCTGGGGCAGAAGGGTGTAAATCAAACAATTTTTTATTAAATTTCCAAAGTTCTTAACAATATTAAATGTCCAAAGGACTTCATTTATCAAGCAGCATGTGTATGATTTATCCTAGCTCTCTGGTTGGGATCTTAGGAGACTCTAAAAGGCTACACAGAATGGTGTAACCTTAGTATATAATGACATCCTTCTTTCTTTTCTAGTTCACAGAGTTTTTCCCTAGCAATTTATACCTAACAAGATAAATATGAAAATATGAAAAAATAA